TACTAGATGGCGGCGGCCATCTTTAAACCCACGACTAGCCCAAGTCTCGCACAGATGCTGAAATATCGCGAGAATTGCGGAGGGAAGGAAAATACTCTGAAAAATTAACCGGGTTACACCCTCCCCCATTTTGGAATATGCGCGACCCGGTGCATGAGACTATACAAAATTACGGTCTAGGGAGTGAGTCTGCTGCAGCGGCGCGACTAAGTGCCTCAGTACAAACAGTTGACAGGCTGTGTAGTAGGGTTTGAACAACTGAGATTAAGGGATTCCCCAATGCGGAATACCTAAGACGTAGTGGCGGGTGACGATTGCGACACGAACGTCTTGGCCCTATATCCCCCTCTGGTAACTGCGACTGAACCAGCTCAGGAACCTCAGCTTCAAGCTCCTGTAATGCTTCAGCAACAGGTGGGTGTTCTTCAGACATGATAGTAAGTTCTCCTCTTTCCACAGGTAGGTCGACAGGATCGGGTAAGTTACTTTCAGATTTGGACTGGTCAGTTTCGTTTACAGGCACATCTTCCACTGCTACCTCGGGAGGATCGGACTCAGCGGAGCTGGACATTGACGGATCTTCAGTGGCTGGGACCCGCTGGGACTCCGGAACAGCTGAAAAGTGTTCAGTTGAGCTTTGACGCAGGGAAGTTTGTGAATCAACTGCACGAGTCTCTGGTATATGCTCAGTTTCACGGGTCTCTTCCACATGGAAGGTCACTGGAAATGTAGGAGAGTGGTGAATAATTATGGACTGAGCATCATCTTCACTCTCGCTCTCCATGACCGGATCAACATGTTGATTCTGGCTGCGAGTGTGGGGTCTTCTAGCGAGAGAAGGTTCTGGGTCCTCAACACAGGTTGGCAGAAACCCACATGGCAGGAGAAGATCGCGGTGTAGTGTGCGAGTAGGTCCCTCTCGGGTCTCGGGTTTCACAACATAAACTGGGAGATCACCGGTACGATGGATAACCACATACACCTCCTGCTCCCACTTATCCTCGAGCTTGTGCTTCCCACGGATTATGACATTCCGGACAAGCACACGGTCACCAGCTTCCAAGCTTGCAGGTTTTACACGGCGATCGAAGCGATTTTTGTTACGTTGAGCGGATTTTTGGGCATTCTGAGATGCAAGCTTGTAACTCTCTTCAAGTCGTGCTCTGAGGCTCTTCACATACTGGGAGTGCGAAGGAGATTGTGATTCCCTCACCGCTAAGCCAAAAGCCAGATCGACTGGGAGCCTCGGTGACCGTCCAAACAAAAGTTCATAGGGTGTGAACCCTGTCACCTCATTTTTTGTGCAATTATATGCATGAACAAGAGGTTTGACGTAGTCTTTCCACTTGGACTTTTGCTTTTTCTCAAGTGTACCCAGCATGCTTAAAAGGGTCCGATTAAACCGTTCGACCGGATTGCCCCTAGGATGGTACGGGGTAGTTCGAGTCTTCTTAATCCCGGCCACCTCACAAAGTTCCTTAATTAGTCGCGATTCAAAATCGGGTCCTTGATCCGAATGTAGACGCTCAGGAATACCATAGTAGACCATAAAATCACTCCACAAACACTTTGCTACAGTTTTCGCCTTCTGATTCGCAGTTGGAATAGCGACAGCAAATTTGGTGAAGTGATCAGTCATCACTAAAATGTCTTTTGTATTGCTGTTATCTGGCTCAATAGAAAGAAAGTCAATACATAGAAGTTCCAAAGGACGATTTGTTTGGATATTTACCAATGGAGCTGCTCGTTCAGGTGGGGTTTTGCGTCGCACACACCGGCCACATGATTGAATGAAGTGCTCCACATCACTTGCCATCTTTGGCCAGAAAAAACGTTGCCGCACCAAATCCAGAGTCCGTTCTATCCCCATGTGCCCCATGTCGCTATGGAGACTTTTCAGAACGGTAGAACGCAGGGCAGGAGGTAGGACAAGTTGAAGGACCACTGTATCGTCTTCTTGTCTCCTCCTATACAGAACATCATCATCCAACTCCAAGCGATTCCACTCCCGTAACAGCAGGGGAAGTTCTGGGAGTTCTCCCCGAAGAGCAGGGAGGATTCTCTCACCAGTTTCCAGTTGGCGGATGACTTCTCGGATTGCGGGGTCGGCACTCTGTTCTTCCCTTAAAACTGCGTGTGTCATAGAGGGAAGTACAGGTAAGCCGTGCAACTCTTCATTGGCAAACTCTGATGGAATAGCTTCAGCAGAGACTGTCATGGATTCAACCAGAGTGACATTGGACTGGGGAGAAGCTCTAGCAAGACTGCTCTGACAGATGGCATTAACAATGTCAGGACATATCTCTGCAGCTTCATCCGGGACTGACAATTGCTCAGCCAGATGGTGAATGAGATCCCACTCTTGTTTAGATTGTGGGTCTTCCGCAACCTCATCATGGCAACGTCTGGATTTTGGCTGAGAGACTGTAGATCTGCGGGGCTGCTGTGCTGTAGCTCTGTCCTTGACTTGCGGCCTAGAGGGAGAGTTCAAATGGCTAGCAGTTAGCATGTTTAACTGGCGTTGAATGTCAGCCATTTGTTGCGCTAATTTCTGTGTGATGCTAGTTAAAGCAGCAACGGCCCCTCCATCACCCGGGTCAGAACGAGCAACTTGAGCATGAGCAGTGACTTTTGGACGGGTGGACCCAAGATGCTGCTTCATTCGCACCGATTTAGCAGCTTCTCTGTCCTCTTCAGTCCGCAAAAGAAGTAGCAGCTCCGCAAAAGTGGGTGGTTGGGATTTCCTCTGTTTAAGCTGGAGCTCAGCTATCAAATTGTTATCCCAGCATCCACGACAAAACTGGTTTAACAGATGGCGATTGATCTCAGAGTCTATAACGCCTCCCCTCTTCAGAGCAGAGTTTAGGGCCACTTGGAGACGTTGAAGGTAAGCAGATGCCTTCTCACCACTGTCCTGGAACGTGTCCATAAATTTGGCAAAAAGTTCATCTCCATCCTGAACAGTTCCGAATGCAGAGTCAAGCGTATCCAAATAAGCAGTGGGCATGGCTTCAGGGTTCAAATGCTTCACAACATCTGCGGCGGGAGGAAGGAGACTCTCCACTATCCTCCGGGAGCGCTGGAGATCAGACACAGATGGATCCCTCAACATCAGTTCCACTCCGGATCTCCAGGTCTCGTAGTCCGTCTCGTGAGCCGGTCTGGGAATACGTCCTGAGAATGCTCTGAGCCGCTGATGGTGCACTGCGCCTTCTTCATTTTTCACAATATGTTCAACCACATATCTCTGGACCTCCGGTGGATGAACATCGATGCTGGACATTGTGCGGTGGATCTCTGGTTGTGGTCTGGTGGCAGTTGAAGCAGTGGCTGCTGAAGAGGTGCTTGGAGTAGCGTTATGGACAGCTGGCTCTGTGTCATCAGCCTCCACTTCCCCTGAATTGGGTTAAGCTCAGAGATGGATAATCCAATTTGAGACATTGTGTGTTTAAGAACATCTGTATAGTTTACACCAGTAGCTCTAGCCATACTTTGCAGCTCAACCAGATATGACATAGTTTTAATTTTTGCAAAGTGCTCAGAATAAACCGCTGAGAGCTCGCATATGCTAAAAGTATCATCAGTTTTAGCTGTAACGAAGGTGTAGGGCAGTAACGGTTGCAACTTTAGCATAGCAATGCTACTTGAAAATTCAACAACAAGCGCGCCCTTAAATGTGGACTCCGGTTCTGACACAATTAACTTTTTCGCAACGGGACCATATTTTTCCAAGAAACTAATAATTTCGTCCTCTGCAGTCTCTGTTATGCCCTCAACAACAACTGCGTAAGGGATTTTGATTCCATGTTTCACAAATATGTCCATTTTGAATGTTTGTAACAAATTAATTCAAATGACACAGTAGTAAATGTACATCAAACAACCCAATTCCTCCTGGCTAGCTCGCCACTTTATGTAACATGTACTATGTTACATTAATAGTAACACTAGAAAATAGAATACTAAAGACAAGAATAATAACAACAACAGGCTAGAATCAGGTTCTCTAGGTTCAGCTCGGAGGAAAAATGGGCTGCTCAATGAACCACACACAACAAATATATTGAGCTCAGTTGTGTTTAGTTATTGTACAGTGAAGTCATATATACATTATTTACAATTTGTGCACAGTTCATTATGTTCCATTTCATCCATAAGAGTCCATTTCATGTAATCCAATTTCCAAGGATAAAAGCAGGTTCTTGTGAACGATTTAGTCCACAGTCTCAGTTCACATTCACACACGGTTTGTGTGTGAGTGTAGTGTGTGTGTGGGGAGCGGCTGCAGCGCCTCCTACCGCACTAGCAGAGTCAATGGTACAGTCTTTGTCGTCTTTTCCAGACTTAGCTCGCCATCCAGAATAGGAACCTGGCCTGTGCGTACAGACAGGACCAGCCATAAGTGACACAATTTATCAAGCATCACAATTCATAACTAACAAACAATATATCATCATTCATAGATTTCATTTCATCATCATATCATTAAAATCACTATTAAACCAAGTACAATAATCATTGCAATCAATAACACGTATTAACAGTGATAGGAGCGATCCAACTGGCGCCAGCACCAATATGAATACGCTCATACAGTTGAATGGGCGCTAGCATTTAGCATGTTAGCTCCGCATGTAAACAAATGCAACACTCACCAGTTCTCTGGATATTTTGGCAGATCAAAATAATGCACAGCCCTTCCGCAGTTGGCAAGAGGCGTCTGCAATGTTGGAGGCATAACAGTGACCCTTATACTTCCATAATTAGCGTAAATAATGGTTTAGATGCCTACCTGCAACAGCTCCAGCACCCGAGTCCCACACGGCTAATACTAGATGGCGGCGGCCATCTTTAAACCCACGACTAGCCCAAGTCTCGCACAGATGCTGAAATATCGCGAGAATTGCGGAGGGAAGGAAAATACTCTGAAAAATTAACCGGGTTACAAAGACCAACGAACTTGCTGCAGTTTCCTCACTGTGGTGGAGGAGATCCAGACTATGGACTTCAAGTCCTCTTGGCCCCTTCGGTGGGGCAGGGGCCGCGGCGTTGTTACCGTCACCTTCACCGTTACTGCTACTCCAAGCCCAGGTCACCCTCACAGTGCAGAGTGTCGCACTCAGCCTGTGCGCCCTATGGGGTGGTCTTGTGAGTCCGTGATTCCCGTGCGCATGGCCAGCGCCCCTCACTCGCTGGCTCACACTGTGGGTTCCTTGAGGCTTCTCTCCTGCCTCTGCGACCACGTCTCCGTTTGTCTGTGTACATAAACGCGTATGGGTCTCCCAACCGCGCTTCCCTGATGCCATTTGCTCCATTATTTCCCGGTCTGCAGCATTCAATTTTAGGGTTTTCAGTTTGGTGGCCCTAAAATGAATTGATATTTGCGCTCCCTTGGCCATGGGAGAACGGGACATGGGAGAGGAACTGGGTGGCACAGGACAGACATTGGGCCTGGGCCGCCTGCTGCAGGTGCGGAGGACATGGATTGGAACAATCGAGGAGCATACTGGGAAATAATGGCATCGGGGAAGCGTAATGATGTCAGGGATGAAGCAGACAGAGACGGATCGTGGTGCGCCAAACTCTGGAAGTTTATTTAAGATTCTCTCAAGTTCCAGTGGTTTCCTTTGTTTCTTTCCCTCAGACAGAATAAAGGCAGTACACAGTTTATATAGTCATTGTCACGTCACACATGGAAAGACATACGTGTCACACAGAGACAGTCACATCAGAGTCAAAATAATCAGAGTCCTTGTACAGTCCTGCACGTAGGCCATATTGCTATCTAATACTAACAATGACAAACGGAAACATGGTCGTAGAGGCCTCGGGGAACCCACGGTGTAAGGCAGCGAGAAGGGGGCTCTGGCAATGCGCTCTTATGGTGCATTCAGACCGCAAACGCTCAAACGCTGAAGCCCCGCTCACCAGACGCGCATTCTCTAGTTTTCAGACACAGGGGTCTTCATACCAGAACGTCCTGGTGCGCACCGGAAGTGGCAGAAGTAGCCGGCAGGCTATGATGCAAACAGAGTTTAGCTAGCGGCTTCTTGTGTACAGATCTTCTCCAATATGCAGCTTTACAGCGTGTCTTTGTTCAGAGACCTTCCACGGACTTATAACAGTAGTATGTGTTCACGGAGGTGCGCCATACGTTTTTTGTATTATTAAACGGTACTTCCGCATCGGCGAACACACTCGAAGCAGTTGCATAAGGTCACGGGAGCATGACAACGCATAAATTCACAATTTGCACAGAGTCCCCCATTGTCATTGCTCAGTCCGCTAATGTCCCCGTGACCACTTTGCGGCTCTCTGATTGGTCGCTGCACAAACGTCCCAAGGAAAGGATGTGCAGAATCCATCTCCTGTGGGCGTCCATTTTCCGCTCCTGCTCCTCCCCTTTGACTTTCCCGCCAAGTCCGTACGTCTCTACTGAGCAGTCCGTGCGTGTGTGCCGAGAGGTCCATGCGTTTTGACGCTCGAACGCGTGTCATCCGTTGACTTTGCATTGAAAGCAGACGCAACGCATGATCCGGTATGAACGCGGCCTTATGGGGCGTTTAGACCGCCGACGCTGGAACGCAGTTTCACTGGGCGTATATTCATGAGGGAGGGAACAAAGATTGACTGGTAAATCGGGAGCTTTGGCTTTTGGCTCAGCTCCCTCATTACCACAACGGTCTGATACAGCGACCACATCACTGCGCACGCTGCACTGATCCACCTGTCAATCTCATGCTCCATTCTTCCCTCATTCGTGAACAAGACACCAAGATACTTGAATTCCTGCACTTGAGGAAGGACCTCTCCACCCACCTGGAGAGGGCAAAACACCTTTTTCCGGCCCCTGGCTGCACCTAGAAATTCTTTCTGTGAGCCTGTTGAAACATTTTTTTCACTTGAAATTACTGACAGAGCCATAGAAAAATATTGGATTATTAATTTAACCTTTACATAAAATGTTATACACTGTGTTAGGTCTTGGTTCGATAGGTTATATGCAATAATTTTAATATGTTTTACTAAACACCCTAGGCTTGTAGCAAATTTGTTTTTGACTTTGACATCCCTGATCTATACCCTATCTATACATCATGGCAAGGCAAGTTTATTTTTATAGCACAATTTCATACACAAGGCAACTCAAAGTGCTGAACCAAATAAGATAGCATTAAAATCATAAATAGTCACAGTACATAAAAAAAAGATAGAAATATAAAATCCCTCAGTTGTATGCACAGCTAAAGAGAACTGTCTTTAACCTGGTTTTAAACATTGTCAGAGAGGAGGCCTGTCTTACACTTTCATGAAGATTGTTCCAGATTTTAGCAGCATGAATCTGAAATGCGGTCTCCCCATGTTTAGATCTGACTCTGGGCACTAACAGGAGTCCAGTCCCTGTGCTCCTAAGAGTCCGGGCTGGTTCATATGGTACTAACTTGTCACTAATATATTTTGGTGGGAGGCCATGGAGAGACTTGTACACAAGCAGAGAGAGGATAAAGACCAGGAAGGCACCAGGACCAGACAACATAAACTCCAGGCTCCTTTGCTCCTGCGCAGATGAACTCTGTGGAGTGATGGAGCGAGTCTTCAACCTGAGCCTCAGGCTGAAGTCGGTACCACAGCTCTGGAAGACCTCCTGTGTGGTACCTGTGCCCAAGAAACCACGGGCCAAAGACCTCAGCGACTTCAGGCCAGCGGCTCTAACATCCCACTGCATGAAGAGTGATGAAGAGAGACTAGTCCTGGGACATCTCCACTCCACTCTGAGCCCGGCGATGGACCCTCTGCAATTCGCGTACCGGCCGGGCATCGGAGTTGAGGACGCCATCATCTCCCTCCTCCATCGCTCCCTGTCCCACCTAGAGAAACCCGGCTCCACTGTGAGGATCCTCTTCTTCGATTTCTCCAGTGCCTTCAACACCATCCAGCCGCGGCTTCTCAGGGACAAGCTGGAGACAGCTGGAGACAGCTGGAGTGGACAGCGACCTGTCCCAGTGGATCCTGGACTACCTCACAGACAGACCCCAGTTTGTGAGAATCAGGGACTTTGTGTCTGAGGTCCTGACCTGCAGTGTGGGGCCCCCCCAGGGGACTGTCCTCGCACCATTCCTCTTCACCCTCTACACTGCGGACTTCAGACACAACACGGACGGTTGTGTCCTCCAGAAGTTCTCTGACGACTCTTTGTTCATCGAACTCAGCTCCGAGGACGATGACACAGAGTACAGAGGAGTTATACAGGACTTTGTTGACTGGTGTCCGCGGAACCACCTCCTCATCAACGCGGGGAAGACCAAGGAGATGGTGGTGGATTTCCGCAGACGTCACTCTGCCGCTCCAGCCCCAGTGAACATCCAGCGAAAGGACATTGAGAGGACTGGACTCATAACACAGACGCACTCTTCAAGAATGGCCAGAGCCGACTTTACCTGCTGAGGAGGCTCAGGTCTTTTGGAGTGTAGGGGCCACTCCTGAAGGCCTTCTATGACTCTGTGGTGGCATCCGCCATCTTGTATGGTGTGGTCTGCTGGAGCAGCAGCATCACAGAGAGGGACAGGAAGAAGCTGGACAAGGTCATCAGGAAGTCCAGCTCTGTCTTGGGCTGTTCCCTGGACACAGTGTAGCAGGTGGGGGACAGGAGGGTCCTGAGCAAACTAACATCTATGCTGGACCATGACTGTCACCCCCTGCAGGACACTCTCTCTGCTCTTGAGAGCAGTTTCAGTGACAGACTAATTCACCCTCGCTGTGTGAAGGAAAGGTTCTGTAGGTCTTTCCTTCCTGCTGCTGTCAGACTGTACAATGAGAACATCTGAGTCTTCAAATGTCATCCATCTGTAAATAAGTAAGGGATAACGTTTATTACGCAGGTCATTATCGGAAAATAAGTACCGACAGGAAGCGGACCCCGATGCGCAGCGGCCCTGAAGGTACTTATTTTCCAATAATGACCTGCGTAATATATGTTATCCCGCTTATTATACGGCTTTATACCAACAGAACACACAACATAAACTTCAGTCCACTTTTAGGAATGCCGAAAGGTTTATTTAATGACAGAAAATAAAATAGTCCCCAAAGGCTTTCCCGTGGCTATGCTAGCAACGGGAAAGCAACAGTCTCAGGCTGGCAACTTCCAAACTAGAACTCTCTGGAACTGCATGAAAACTGAACAAAGAATTCTGAACATCAGCCGTGAGTGACCCATACATAAACCTAACCTAAATCCATAATTCAATCCTCTGCAAATGTGTCCGAAAATGTTCCGGTATCTACTTCCGGGTTTTTCGGGATCGCCTTTTCTCGCATTACATAAGTGTTTTTGTCATGAAAACGTAAACGGAAAATTCTGAAAACTTCCTTGATTGGCATTTGCATTTATTGAGCGGCCGGAACTACTTCCGGGTTTTTCACGATTGCTTTTTGACGCAGAGAAATAATATTTTATATAATAAATAAATATAATAAAATTTCCGTGCACGTGTGTGAAGAATGTATATGTATAAGTATTCTTGGATTAACATTTAAGTGTGTTGATTGAGCGTGGCTAGCTCCGGAGTGGCCGGAACTACTTGCGGAGTTATCCACGCATTTGAAAGACAAGCAGAGATTGCGTTGCCATGGGCAGCGGTCATTATTGTTTTGAGAGGTCCGTTATAGAAAATAATGACCGGTAGAACGTTTTGAAATTGCATTCAAATCAATGGAGCATTCTACTGCTGCTGTGAGGAGCCGTATAATAAGTAAATACTAAATCATGTGCAATGTGTAATTCTGCACCTTCAGAATGTCACTGAACAATGTCACTTTACTTTATCTACTTCTTATCCTGCACTATATGTACAGTGCGAAAGTATTCGCCCCCCTTGAACCTTTCAACATTTCGCCACATTTCAGGCTTCAAACATAAAGATATAAAAATTAAATTTTTTGTCAAGAATCAACAACAAGTGGGACACAATCGTGAAGTGGAACGAAATGTATTGGATAATTTAAACTTTTTTAATAAATAAAAAACTGAAAAGTGGGGTGTGCAATATTATTCGGCCCCCTTGCGCTAATACTTTGTAGCGCCACCTTTTGCTGCAATTACAGCTGCAAGTCGCTTGGGGTATGTCTCTATCAGTTTTGCACATCGAGAGACTGGAATTCTTGCCCATTCTTCCTTGCAAAACAGCTCGAGCTCAGTGAGGTTGGATGGAGAGCGTTTGTGAACAGCAGTCTTCAGCTCTTTCCACAGATTCTCGATTGGATTCAG